GAATGCAGATAGTTAAGAGCTAAATGGTGTTTTGTTTCTTTTACAAAAGTTGAATTTAAAGATTTCTATCTGTGCTCCTCACCCTGATTTGCTTAAATATTATTTTTAACATGCGAGTGAGATATAAATAATTTCCTTACCTCTCAGATAACTTCTCGTGAGTCTAAGTTCTCCAGTTGGAACCAGATTTATTTCCCTGTTTCCTCTCTGAACCAAGATAGGACAAAAAAATTACTTTCAATCCCAAATTCCACATTTTGCAGCACACATCAAGGTCCAGCCTTGCTCCTCGGTTCTGTCACTGAAATTAAGAATCCAGGCTTCCCTTTCCTTTGTTTCCTATGAATTGCAGCCTGTTAGCGCCCTCTGACAAATCAAAGAATTGCTTTCCCAGGTGATATGAATAGCTGTTAACCATTTCCTGCCTGTGCTGGCTAGACTCCTCCCCAATTTTCCGTTCACTGAAGTTTAAGCAGCAAGACCTTAAAACATAAGGAGTGCTTCAGGAAGAAGCCTGTAAATCTTGATGCACACATATGTAAAAACTGATCAGAGACACTGGTAGAGTGTCACAACCCTTTTAAAGATATTTGATCGTATTATTTTGACAGTATCCCCAATCACAAAGAGTAGCTTTACCTCAAAGCAGCCAACCACCTTAAAAAAAGGAGATTGTGCTGTGTACTCTTCTTAGGTAAACACCACCCTGCCTCTTGCTACTTCCTGCTGTGGTGACATGTGATGAGATGATAAAATCTAAAGAGAGTAGGACACTGAAATGGGCAATGGCCAATATAATCACAGACCAAAAGTTACCCAGAAACAAAACTGAATGCAGTTCAGCTAGCCCCAAATCGGAGGAAAAGCCAAAGAAATGGGATGGGGGTAACAGTGCCAACAAGCTGCCAAAAGCACATTGCCCACTATGCAGAGACTCACCAAGGCTATCCTTTGCCATTCTTAGGGCTATAACACTGCAATTGTGCCACCATAGCATTGTAGTGTAGATGTATGCTACAGCAATAGAAGGGTTTTGTCATTGCTGTAGTTAATCCACCCCTCCAAGAGATGGTAGATAGTTCCATCGACCTAGCAGGATTTAGGTCAGCTTAACTACATCTCTCAGGGGTGTGAGTTTTTCATATTGCTGAGCAACATAGCTAGATCAACCTAAATTTTAGTTGTGGACCGGGCCTTAGAGTTGAGCTACAGTATAAGTCAATTTCTTAAATATCCAAATTCTACTAGGAAATGGATAAGCAAGGACAATAGACCAAACTCCCGTGTCTGTTACATCAATGTAAACTTTTATACAGGTGTAACAGCAAAATTTGGGCCATTGATCTGATTTTGGTCTGAGAATGAGCAGAGGTCCAATAAACCCTTCTGAGAAAGGCCTCCATTTCATCAGATTCTGCTTTCCTCCGGTGCAAAAGGACACCATTTTACAATAAAACAAAGGTGTATTTTATTTCTTATTTCATAGTTCTTTTCAGGGACTCTGGTGAAATGGAACAAGGCACCTCAGTTCCTACACCTTTGCATCCTCATCTCCTTTGGGCACCTTCAACCAGGAATCCACAAAATACACTCATGGCTGAATAATGAAAAATGTAATTATGAATAATTTGACAAAACCTTCAGCTAAGTTAATCACAATGAAGAGTTCAACCAGCTCTACTCATACCCATCTGTGAGAGGGGTTTTGTGACTGCTCGAACCATGACTTGACGCGATGCTGGCCCTGATGGGAAAGGTGGCAAGGAATGGTAGGGTTAGAATGGTCCCATGACACAAGACTGCAGTTTTCCCCTCCGCTGTAGAAAGTAGTTCCCCAGGGCCAGTACTGGCCAGCGAAGGAAATGAGGGGTATGTCCAGACTACCTGCCGAATCAGCGCGTAGTAATCGATCTATCAGGGATCGATATATCGCATCTCGTCTAGACGCGATATATCGATCCTTGAACGTGCTCCCGTCGATTCCAGAACTCCACCAGGGCAAACGGCGGTAGCGGAGTCGACAGCAGAGCCGTGGCCGTTGATCCCGCGCCATGAGGACGGGAGGTAAGTCGAAATAAGATACGTCGACTTCAGTTACGCTATTCCCGTAGCTGAAGTTGCGCATCTTACATCGACTCCCCCCCTCACCCTCCCAGTGTAGACCAGCTCTAAGAAGACATGACTTCTCTGTCTGCCACCTAGGCGGACCACATTGTAGGGGGCGCACACTCAAAATCCTCAACCACCTTTGGAGGTGGCAAAATGTGGGTAAATGGAAAGTACTTGCCAGAAACACGCCTAGGGTGACCAGACAACAAATGTGAAAAAAATTGGACAAGGGGTGGTGGTGGGGGGGGGTAATAGGAGCCTATATAAGAAAAAGACCCCAAAATCGAGACTGTCCCTATAAAATCGGGACATCTGGTCACCCTGAACACACTGCAAGAGCAAACTCATGGTTACATGACGTTCCTGGAAGCAAGATGAAACATCTCACCTCCGGTCTTGTTTTCTCTTCCTCCCTGTCCTTTGCTTCAGGCCCTTCCAGCCCAGCCACCCCATTCCAACCGCCCAAGTCCAGCCACCCCGCACAACCAGGCCTCCATCCCGGCCCCCCGGGTGGGCGCACCCTGTTGCTCAGGTGCAGGGGTTGAAGTTGAGCCCAGATTCCCCTTTATGACAAGCAACAGAGCCCCCCCTCCCACTCCCCTGCCTGAGGGCTGCAGCCCAAGCTCCCCTCCTGTTCCAGCCCATTATAATCCCGGGGGAGACAGGGAGCCATACGCCTCCATGCTCCTTCCCCCCATTGCCACAGCGGGGGCCTCCCTTTCTCCTCCCCTGAGGACAGGGGTAACACTGCTACTGCATGGACCGCCCCTGTGCCTTTAAATGGCCCCTCCCCTTCCTCTACAGCGGTTGGCCACGCCCCCTTGTCGCGCCCAGGGACAGTCCCCATCCCTTCCGGGTTTGGCCCCGCCCCTTCCGGCACTGGCTCCTCCCCCTTGGCCAGTCGGTGAGGTGAGTCGGGAGTGTTGGCCGCTGAGGAGCTGGCCGTTCGGTCGGTGCTTCGCTGGGGGCGGGGGCTTGCTGCACTGGCAGAGCCCGCGGGCGGAGCGCGGCCTAGAGCGGAGGCCGCTGTAAGGTCCTGGGCCTCTGCTCGGCGCTGGGGTCGGGGGAACGACTGCTCTGGGGCTGGCCTTTGCCGAGGGAGGG